TTTAGCCAAGTCCTGGTCCGTATTTAAAATTCAAATCAGTTGTATATCCTCTTTTGGAAGTCGAAAACCAACCCCAACATTGGTTGACGTTTATGACAGTTTTATTTGCAGTAGTATTCTAATGGAACAATTCCACAAGGCCGTAAGAGAGACACGGATATTAGGCATGTTCTTATGTACGTACGTACAGTGGAACTCCGATATTCGCCATGCATCCGTTCCTTAGAAGATGATGATGTTAAAAAGGACGAATATCAAACGAATTTTTTCAATAGCAAATAATAAAAATGGTCGTTCCCGCCGTCCCTCGAATTTTACCTATCTATTCTTTACCTAAAAATATTTCGCTTTAAAATCGATCTCGAAATTACTGCACATACATTTTAATTACATATTAAACACTGTACTTATTATTCCTTTATCGTTGTAACCTGTGTGTAGTGTCCCGATGACGTAAATATACTGTAGGTAAAGTGAAGTCCTTTTTTCACGTCTTTAGTCGGATTGGAAATATAGGGCAAGACCTATATTTTTATGTTGAATATATAATATTGAATTATGAAGAGACATCATAGCACTCGGGACACTCCCATAAGCGCTCCGTCCCCATCTTCCGCAGCAAACGAAGAGTTACAATTCCGATGACACCAGAGGCTGTCTAGTTGTAAATCCGTCTTGCCTTTCCTTTAAATGTTGAGCGTCGGTCAGATCCCTTGGCTACTCCCCTCAGCGCCATTCTTCTTAGATCGTAATGATTTATTTGCGCTTCCGCACTTTTTAACTCGCCCCCAGAGGGCCCTCACAACATTTAGCTTGTCATACATTAGTTCACCACTAAGTGGTGCAGAACTGGCCAGTCTATCTGTCAGCTCATTTCCCAACACACCGTCATCACCTGGAGAGAATTTCCAAAGGATGTTAACTACCCGGGACATTTGCACTGAGCATACCTGTCTCTACCTTTCTTAGCATGCTCTGTGAGTCTGTGACAATCACGGTATGTGTGTACAGCTGATTCTCAAGCCAGCGGAATGCAGCAGTGACTGCCTCCACCTCAATTCTCAAACTAGAAGTTGTGATATCAAATGCCAGGTTTTGTTGCACTACGCGACGTCCATTCACTTTTGCTATGAATCCCCATGCATTTCCTCTGCCCCTCAACACAGAGCCATCTGTAAATACAATCACATAACTTGGGCGGGAATTGTCATGAATCATTTGTTGAACTTCTGATTCTACAGCACCAGCTGGCCAGTCCCTGCACTTGTTTCATTTCCTTGCACTGCACATCCCGGACAGTATATCCATGTGAATCAGATTATTCAAGATGCCATTACTCAGTTGCCGCGTGACAGGATTTAGAAATCTAATACCATTTCGCGACATCTACCTGACTGTAAGGCCGACCGACACGAAGATGGGCACAGGATATAAGTGACACCTTGAGTGTGAAAGTTCATGAGGCGGGGGAACTGGCAAGAGACCGAGTTTCTTACAGGCAGACTGTGATGAGAGCGACGTTCTGCAAAGGACCTGCTACATGATGATGACCTGACTGTAATGTAAGCCAACCAACCTTTCACACACTTCCAAATACACACGCAGCTGACGGTCCCAGATGTCCGATTGTTTGTGTATGTTAGTACCCTACAGGGGCACCTGAACCCGGAGGTTCAGCCACCGGGAAGCCCCCAAATGGAGCGGCTAGTCGAAAAGTTAAGAAAGAAGTATCCTCACGCGGAGACCCGGATTCGAATCTCCAATCTCCATTAGGGTTGCGGCAAAAATAAGATCTTAACCTGTAGTCTGTGGCGACAACACTAACGATGGGGTCCTAAACATTCAGGTTTTAAACCACCCCCCCCCCCCCAGCTCCACACCCACTCCCTGCCTGCACCACAATACTGCTAAGCAGTAAAGGTAGTTTCTAATGGGGGAAGCCCCCTAACGTTTTATTAGAGGTCAGCCCCCCCCCCCCCCCCCCCCCCCCATCCCCGCGCGCCAACCAAGCTGCCCCGTGTGGAAGCTCTTTTTAGGTTTATGTTTATACATATTAAAAAATATATATTACTTCATTTATTTGCCATTTATTGTATTGTTTTCTTTCTTCTTGGTTACTGAAGAATTGTTCTGTACCATTTCGGTTCAAAGGCTGCCCATTTTTTCACCTTCAGTGATCGAGTAAGAGTCAGTGGTTTAAATCGATTATTTGCTTGAGAACAAATACAAGATCTCGCAATTTTTACTTTAACTCGCTGGAGTTGACAGTGTCATAGCTTCTTCATGCTGTTTAATCTCTGCATTGCTAAAGCGAGTCTTTTTCTTGACTTCTTTTGTGCATAATTAATTCTTCTAAGCCACTTACAAAAGGAGAAGCCGTGGGGGTTCAGAGGTCCCATGTGGGGGAAAACAAGAATAGACCCACTGCCTTCCCACAAGCTTGTTGCAAGAGTAGACTTACTCTGAGCTTCTTCTCGAAGTCGGAATGCATTTGCCAGAGCGACAAGAAACAATCAACCGCACGCAATTAAGCCAGTGAAACTGATGTCGACGTAAAACTCAGACCCTGGCACAAAGCCAAAGTCTAAAAGGACGAACAACCAGAACTTTCCACCGGGACTGACAACCGGTGAACAAAGAAGAAAGAAGGAGGAGTAAAGGGGGACTGTGTTGTCGAGCACTTAATGAAACCTTACTAGCACGAGAGTCTTCCCACGCCCGGTTTCAAATTTGTTGCTAAATTGGCCCAGTGCCTTGAAACCAGTGTTGTACTTGTGCCAGGTCAGTTCGTTTCTTGTCGCACACATCTCCCAGTTCCTCAAGATAATGTGTATATATTTCTCACCTTAAATCAAGCCTCTTTTATTAGCTTTACCGCACATATCTTTGTTTATTTACATCCCCCCCCCCCCTTTTAGATCAGTGATTGTCAAATTGTTTTCGGGTTTCCCACCCACTCCAATGAATATGTGACTAGGCCTCACGCCACCTCCTCACTCCCCCCCCCTCCCCACTTCCCCCATCCGCTCCAGACTTTAAAATAATGTGATTAAAAAGAGAAGGTAAAAAAGAACTATCACAATTACTACTAAACTATAACTTGAAGAAAAACATCCACATAAACCTAAGTGTCAAATAAAATTAAAGAAACAGTTATCAGCCACAGGAAATTTAGTGTCCAAATATCAAAGCGATGGTTGAAACTAGTTTGTCTGGATGATATCTGCATTATTTTACTAAGTGGTGCACAAAATTCATCAGGTACAACGTCATGCTTGTGCAAGGAATTATATGTAAAGGAAAGGTAAAGACCCCCTTAACACCTAAGAGTGACTAAAGAACCCCCTTACACCTGAGTGACTAAAGAGCCCCTTACATCTGAGTGACTAAAGAACCCCCTTACACCTGAGTGACTAAAGAACCCCTTTACACTTGAGTGACTAAAGAACCCCCTTACACCTGAGTGACTAAAGAACACCCTTACATTACACCTGAGTGACTAAAGAACCCCCTTACACCGAGTGACTAAAGAATCCCCTTACACCTGAGTGACTAAAGAACCTCCTTACACCTGAGTGACTAAAGAACCCCCTTACACCTCAGTGACTAAAGAACCCCCTTACACCTGAGTGACTAAAGAACCCCCTTACACCTGAGTGACTAAAAAAACCTTACACCTGAGTGACTAAAGAACCCCCTTACACCTGAGTGACTAAAGAACCCCCTAACACCAAAGAATGACTAATGAACTCCCTTACACCTAAGAGTGACTAAAGAACCCCCTAACACCAAAGAATGACTAATGAACCCCCTTACACCTAAGAGTGACTAATGAACCACCTTACTCCTGAGTGACTAAAGAACCCCCTTACACCTAAGAATAACTAAAGAACCCCCTTACATCAAAGAATGACTTTAAAAAAAACCTTACACCTAAGAGTGACTAATGAACCCCTTTACACATAAGAGTGACTAAAGAACCCCCTTACACCTAAGAATGACTAAAGAACCCTCTTACACCTAAGAGTGACATCAGGCATTTGGTACAGGTGTCATTGTGTCGTATAATATACACTCAGTGTATGATGTGAACGATTTCACACCGGCCGCCTTCACTTTCCAGTAATCTTCCTAATATCAGTTTCGCTAATATGGCATCACGGTTTGAAACTTGTCTATTCTTATCTTCAAACCGGCCGCCTTTACGTTCCAGTAAACTTCTTGATACTCATTTTACCCTAGCGTAGCATCAAGGATTGAAAGCTTTTATATATTTACTTTTACTTCTAAATACTCAAAAGGCCAAACGGCATGCAAATTGATGCTTACAAATTTTGTAAAATATATTGCTCACATTTGTAAGCAATCGGTACATGAAATGTGTTGTGTTTAATCTCAAGTTGGTGGCATTTACGACCCATGCGTTTTCCTAGTACTCAGTGTAGGATGGGTCGTACTGGAATTCCAGGCCAATTTTTCAAAGCCAGCCTTACAAGTGCTTTCTCTTTTGCTTAGCGTTCGCCAGCTGTAAATCTCAGCGTAAATGTCTGGGGTTTTCGTCCATATCTGTACTTTGGTCCTGTTCTAGAGCTTTGCATGCACATCCGTTTTGTGGATCTGGCTTATTTGTAAGCAGACTGTTATTTCCCCTGCTCTCATGCAGATGTACTCAGACTTCGAAGGAAAAACCCCCTATTTAGTGAGATTTTACGACATGCTTGTTAGGGGATGGGTGGAGGAGGTTCATCTCCCCCCCCCCCCCCGCCCCTTTCCATAATGTGGCCCTGGAACCCACACGGGAAAAGGGGGGGGGGGGTTAGTTTTCTACTCATGACCCCTTTTCCGTCAGGCCAGTGTGTTTAATACAGCGGTTGTCACTATTGCTGCAAATTAAACTGAAAGATCATTTTCCCCG